ACATCCTACAGACCCATCAGTCTCTTAAAGACCATGGGTAAGTTATACGAACGTATAATTGTCTCTCGATTAAGAGATTATGTTTTTTCTAATAATCTCTTAATAAACGAACAGTTTGGCTTCCGCGCCTCACATTCCTGCGTACAACAGGTGCACCGCTTAACGGAGCACATACTTAGCGGCCTCACTGCTAAGCCACCCGTAGGGACAGGAGTGCTATTCTTCGACGTAGCGAAGGCATTCGATAAAGTCTGGCACAATGGCTTNTGGGTAAGTTATACGAACGTATAATTGTTTCTCGATTAAGAGATTATGTTTTTTCTAATAATCTCTTAATAAACGAACAGTTTGGCTTCCGCGCCTCACATTCCTGCGTACAACAGGTGCACCGCTTAACGGAGCATATACTTAGCGGCCTCACTGCTAAGCCACCTGTAGGGACAGGAGTGTTATTCTTCGACGTAGCGAAGGCATTCGATAAAGTCTGGCACAACGGCTTGATTTACAAGCTTTACGAACTCGGTGTGCCGGACAGTCTCGTGCACATCTTACGTGACTTTTTATCGAATCGCACCTTTCGTTACCGAGTAGATGGCTCCCTCTCCTCCCCCCGCCCCATAAGAGCCGGAGTCGCCCAGGGCTCCGTGCTCTCGCCCATCCTCTTTTCATTGTACGTCAATGACATCCCCAAATATCCGCATACGGATTTAGCCCTCTTTGCGGACGACACCGCACTCTACAAGTCCGGGAAAAGTGAGGCCAAGTACTTAGGTGTCACCCTCGACCAGAGATTATCGTTCGCTCCGCACCTCAGACGCGTCTTGAGCCGTGCGAACCACTACATCCACCGACTCTACCACCTAGTTGGAAGGAAAAGTAAATTGTCACTTAGAAATAAGTTGACAATTTATGTTACAAAACCTGCATCCGTCCAGTGTTGACTTACGCCAGTCCGGTGTTTGCTCACACTTCCTGCACAGACCTTAAGAAATTCCAGACCCTCCAAAACAAATTCTTACGCCGAGCCGCGGATGCCCCGTGGTTCGTGCGTAATACGAATCTCCATAGAGATTTCGAGATCCCATCGATTGATCACTTTTTGAAAGAAGCCTCTCGCCGCTACTTTGATAAAGCGATCAACCACAAGAACCCTCTTATCGTTAGCGCCGCCACGTATACACCCCAGAAAGATGTCGCTGCCCAATACCGACAACCTAGGCATGTCCTAGACGACCCGGACGNTGAAAATTCATCAGTTAGATGAGCTAGAAATGTTTACTCCCGACGTCTCTACCATATCACATGATGACCCAAATGACGTTATGGTCTCAAACATGACGCCATACTATTCCCCAAAGTGACTTAGAGGATGAAAAAATTCATCCATTTGCAACATTTTGGAGATTGAAAAGCTCCTCAAGCTACCAGCGCGCGTCCCTTCAAAAAAAAAAAAAAAAGGCCTTCGGTTCAGCGTTGAGGAATTATAATAGGGAAAATCATTTTCGTTTGAACCCCATCGAATGACCAAATTGATTGATTTAATGCTGAAGATACTGAAGAAAATGTATGTTTAGTGTTTCATTTAATGCTCTTCAAATTATAAAAAGTAAAAAGAACCGTAACTTTAGACTTTTTTATCTATACCTATCAAAATGTATGGTTACCGCACGTTTGCCAAGCTCTTGTATATTGCACATATCTCAAAAAGTTTGCGTTGGAATATATCCCAAAAATATGCACCCTTCGAAACTCAATGGTTTGTATGCAATAGGAGATCTCTTCATTTTCGTGGATTACAAAAAGGATATTTCTTTATATAAAGTCCAAAAGGGGAGAAAACGTATTATGGTGAGTTATTGTGTACATGCGGTCCAGAGTTTGACCGCAGAAACATATTTATTTATGTCAGTTTCAAAACTATTATTAATGACTGCTACTCTTTATTTAGTTTTATTATCCTGAATTAAATAAGTTTCTGTGACTCTACTGTGTGTAAACTTTTCAAAGTTAAAGATATTTAAGCATCTAATATTTTTTTCTTTTGTTATAGGTGGCCTGACCTGATCATCAATCGGTAAGTGAACATTTTTTAATTTTCTAATTAATACAATGACATGAGCTCACTTCTGTACTGAGCTATAGTTATCGACGTTTTAAAAAATATTTTTATTTTTGTCATTAAAACCGTGTTTCGCAATGAAGCGCTAAAATGTTTTTTGCAACAGAAATCATCTTGTATCTGGTTCTTGCAGTAATTAAGTATTGCAATTTGCAACATGACTGTCGCGTCAATTAAATTTGCACATACCGAAATCTGTTCTATTCAGATAATCTTATTGCCGCTTTGAATCTTAAAGGACACTAGTTAATAATGCGATTGAAAAACCTCATGAAAATTCATCAGTTAGATGAGCTAGAAATGTTTACTCCCGACGTCTCTACCATATCACATGATGACCCAAATGACGTTATGGTCTCAAACATGACGTCATACTATTCCCCAAAGTGACTTAGAGGATGAAAAAATTCATCCATTTGCAACATTTTGGAGATTGGATGAAAAAAACATTTCCAAGCAATACGAGCAATAGTGGAAAGTTTCGTTGAATTTAGGAATTATAGAGGGTTAACTGAGGAATATTTTGTATTTAAAAACAAAATTCCACTAATGGACGATGTAAAATATAAGAGCCATATCAATTAATTTATTATCAGTTACAAAAGCACTCGGCTCAAACGTTAAAATTCGTTAAAACTGTATCTAATTTGCATGTGTATAAGACTCCCGCGCAGATGGCGGATAAGGCGGCTGTCGATTAGAGCTATCGGTAATGTTACTACTGCAATCCGTTACTCGGGATTACCCCGCTGATAAAATTAATTCGGAAAGATTATTTTTAATGCAGTGGGATTAATCGTTTGATAACAAAACAATAATTACCTAATTGACAAGATACTGATTATGACTGCGTACATTTTCAATTATAGCATAATTATTAATTAAATTCATTTGAAATATTTATTTATTTATTTTATTTAATTACACAGGTTTTATACCTTATTACATATTTAAATATAAATGAATTTAATTAATTATGTGTACCTGTACCTAAATAAAACCAAAGAATGTAAACTTCCAGGGCACATTTTTACTTCGGTAGGTAAGTGAAATTTATAGTGATGTGGATATTTTAATTGCAAATTCATTTAGATTTTAAGTGTTTTTAAGTGAAAAAAGGTCGAGCTGTGCTCATAAGTAAGTACTTACTGTGCATATTATGTACAGTCTTCATAACAAATGTCGCGTTCGGACTTATGTTTGGTGACTCTCTATTTAAATTATGACGACCTTTCTCTGAGAATAAAGAAGAAAGAGAAAGAAAGAAAAAGTCTTTATTTGACAACTAAAATCATGATGCAAATGTGAACCTCATCGCACGATGTCTTATCTTCAAAGACTACTATTTATATTTAGAGTTTAGTGTCGTTCGGCTAAACCTCTCTAATGTGCAGGCGCCTCGAGCTCGCGGCGTGATTGCATGTAATTGCATCTCGATCGAGTCCATTCGCGCTTTGTTTTATGTGCGTTTTGTAATTGATTCGGCGAGGCATCGATAATTCTGCTATGAGTTTAGGGTCTAAGCGATAAATGTAATCGATGATAGTGGTTTTGAGGACTCTTCAGATATTTTAAAAGTTTAATCACTTCAGTATATTAAAGTCATATCAATACGGCCATAACGATATAGGAAAACCTGACTTAGATCCTAGGTAGGTACTAGAATGTTTATTGTAAACCGACTTTGTTATTGTCAAATGAACGCATTAAATAAGGCGTTATTTAGGAGAATAAAAAATATTACCTACGAGTATTTGTTGATAATTAACTAAGTAGTCATAACTTAGGTGAGACTTTTTAGCAGGTAGGTGTTATTAGTTTGTATTGTAGTTTGTACTTTAGATGTCCAACAATAGCAAACCCTATAACTACATATAAAGGTTGATAATAGTTTTAAGCCCGTATTGCTTAAGTGAAGCAGCAAATTGAACGCACAGCGTTGAATAGACCTCTGTGATAGATTCGTGTGTCACTCTGTGCGTCCACGCGCACTGTGAGACCTCATAGTAACGTTTGTGAATACGGGCGTTAGTGTGTTTCTTGCGCTGTTTCTTTTCGGCACTGGCCTGTATTGTTGTTTGTAGAGTTTTTTTTAATAAAAGTTATATCGGGATCAGGAGTGTAGAAATGCTTTTTAAATTCAAATTTAAATACATAGTTTATTCAGTACATAGGCCCTTTCCAGGGCACTTATACACGTCCCTCTTCTTCGCTCTTTAAAAGCTAAGTTACTGAACTAAATGAACTTAATGCATTTTCTACGGAACCTCACCTGCATGACCCTCTCCCCCTTGGCCGGCGTTCCTGTAATTGATTCCGCCCGGACACCGATAAGTTCTCGCGTCGTGCTGGACACGCGTTTCGTTTGTTTGTGAATGCAAATTGCGTTTAATGACGCGTTCCTTTTGCGTTTTGTTTTGGTGATGAAGTAATTGGAAATATTTAATAGCGATGTGTTGTGCACACCATTTGAACCACGAGCAATAAATACGCGTTTGTTTTTCTTTGGGCTAGTGCAGTTGGAGAAGCTATAATCAGAATGATTTTATTGTTGAAGTGCAATTTTATTGGTTCCTTATTCAATAATATGAGTTTGTAAGTCCTTCGAAAATAATGTAGCATGAATTATGTACTTAAAAACAAAATTGATCAAAGAATTTCCTTTGCAAGAACCAGATTTCAACCCAACTTGGAATTACGTTAATTTTGGTAACATTAATCATAAACTAAGATAATATTAAAGTACTTTACGTACGCTACACGGTTCTATAATAATTTAGACACAGAATATAACGTCAAAATACACAAAATGAAATTATTTCAGATTCCAGGAATTACTTCAACCACAATATCCCACATAAACACAAATAATGTACCGCAAAATAAGTTACATTTCATCTCCATAAACCTGGTTTGCTTAAAAGCATTTTCTGGAAGGTACAACATAAAAATCCTAACGTGCTTATCCTCATTTGGAAGAAAATAAAGTTAGACTTTTGTATGTGATTGTGTACGTTTGGTTACTTATGTTGTTACGTATGTGTGTTTGAAATTAAGGGTTTCCAGCCGTGTTTCCATTAATTAATCAGCGTAGAGCGGTTAATGAAAACTGACTGCTTACATACTGGGTGGTAGCAATGGGTCGGGTATTGAGCGTTTCAAAATAAGGCGGAGAATTGAATCGTGCTCAAATTTCAAGGTCCAAGGTCGTAATTGGTTGATGAATTACACGCTTGAACCTGTTCTTAAGTGTAGATTCGTAGTTTTGTGTTTTATGAAACTTGACTTGAGGGAAAAGTTAATTTTTATAGTGTTGCTATAAGTAGTAAAGGTATTTTCTTTGATACTCCTCCTTAACATAGACGACTGAAACGGCAATCTTTTTTTAACTAATCTCAACTAAATGATGCCAATAGTAAGGTTCCACTTAAAAATATTCCTTATCCAATTAAGAAATAATGAAAACTCATAATATTTCCTGTTCGCCCAAACCTAACCCATCGTTCGGAAGTTGGGCAGAAAAGCAAACCCTTGTACCTGCGGGTAGTAAAACATAATGGCAGGTACTCAAAACGGGAGGTAATTTTCATGGGCCTTTATTTGTGGGAGCAGCCCGAGGGCTACACGTGTGGGATGAGAGATCATTTACTTTGATGACATACGCACTGCATAGTGTAATTAATCCCATAACAATATTGCAACGTGTAATTGATTTTATTAGTGATCTTTTGTAGAGGCTGTTAACAATAATAAAACTAGTTGTTGTCAAGTTTGGATATTATAAAGAAATAGCAGCAATATTTTTAAATAGCGATACAATTACGTGGCTTAAATGTTCATAATATACGTAAACTGAAAGTTCATAAACTAACTGTGCCTATAGATTTGTACAACAGTTTTCAATAAGAGATTCTTATTCTTAAGTTTTCT